TTCCTTCTGCTGCTGCAGCAAGCGGCAATGACGCACACAAACACACACACACTCAAATCGAGCGGCGGCGGCCGAATCGCCGATAAAACTGTTTGTATTTTATACTTTTCCAGGTTTCTTCAGCGTTTTCTTTCTCACTATTTTTGTGAAGACAGAAAGGAAGCCGCTATTTTAATTCAATTTATTTAGTTTTCGGCAGCACTTTACTTGAACAGCACTCACACAAACAAACACACACACACGCACAAACATGAACGAAGAGCGAACAACTAAACTCCTTTTCAAGGAGTAGACACAATTTTTTTTCGGCTACTTCGTTTTCAACTGCAACTCCGTTTTTTCGTTGCAGCTTTCAAAGAAACTTTACATGTGTTTTGCACAGATGGATATTGCTTTTGTTCGCCTTCCTGCGACAACGATTTTATTTTTTTTAATTTTTTTTGTTTCGTTCGACGCGTCTAATGCGAATTAATTTTGGCCAAATTGCGACAGCGACAACAACACACCAGCGCCATATTTGATCTGATGTAAAAGTAATGTACCAGGGCAGCCCTGGTTTAGCAGTTAGCCCGACAGCTACAATGTTATTAACATTTTCTAAAGCCTTAACAGTGAGTTGCCGATGCTGTTATCACTGTACAATAATTAAAATGTGAGTTTTTAAAAACTTAAAGTGATCATGTACTTTATTTTAAACGATGTGAAAAGTCACATAAATGTCAAGATTTTATTAGATTAAAATAAACATTAGTCTTTAACAGCTGTTGTCTGAATCCAAATAACAGAATAATGTTATTGAACAGTTCACTCCCGTCGACAATTTGATTTTTCTGTTATTGCTAGTATCTGATAGATTTCGATAAATTGCAGAAAAAAAAGAGTGCACACACTGAAGCCAATCGCAGCCAACTGAAATCATAAATTTGATCTAAATTCAAGTTACAATCGATAGCTTGTCTGACATAAACGAAAATCTAGTGGACACACTAATGTCAAGCGCGCCAAGTTAATAAATAAAAGTCCATTGCTTGTGTATCCTAGAAATGACTATTTTAATTTGTATGCACCGTGCGATAAATTTTGTAACATTGCGGCGGTATAAAATTAAATTAAAATACTCCGTTAATTGTTAATAAATAAATTAAGACTTCTTCCGCGGCACATTTTGTCTAGTAGATTGTATTGCGATAGCTCTCTATAAATTGTTCCACCAGACCAGGCAGCTCTGGAGCCCGGCACAAATACTTGTGCCCGTATCCATGTGTCCGGTCAAACCGATGGAATTCCACTGGCCCCCAGGAGCGCCTGCGCGTATCCAGGGCAGTTCTATAGAGTTGGTAGCCCAAACGGAAGGGCACCACAACATCGTCCTCGGCGTGCATTATCATAATTGGCTGAGGAAACTCGCCAACATGCTTGTCCGACTCGAAGCGCAGTCGGTTGTCATACATGGGCTGCGAGATCATATAGTCGAACCAAGGCAAATGTCGGAACGGCCGGGAGAACGGATGCAAACGAATCTCATCACGAATGTTGGTGAACGGACTCTCAAGTATAACGCCGCGTGGTCCACGCTCCTTCATGTGGGCCAGTTTGGCACACATGTGCGTCGCCACGCCCGTGCCCAAGGAGTGGCCCCAGATGAAGATCGGATTCGACGTCAAATTGGCAATGTACTCAAAGACCATCAGAGCATCCCGCACCACGCCATCCTCTGACGGAGGCACTGGATCCGAGTCAGCATAGCCCCGATAGTCAAACGAGAAAACGTGATAATTCAGATGCCGCAACAGCTTGTACACCTCGGAACGATGGCCACTGCCCCTCGTGGCCGTATTGCCATGCAAATAGAGAACCACAGTGCCGCCAGGCACTCGCAGCAGCCGCTCGTAGAAGAGCTGCTCGTTTTCCGGCACAATTACAGGAAATTCGGCACGCAGCTCTGGCGCTAGACGTTCCAGCTCATGGCTGTCGGGACTCTGGTGAGTGGGCATAAATTGCTGGCTATTGGAAAAAGCCGTCTCCACGTCAGCTTCCACGCGGAGCTCTCGGCGGAATCGATGCACAGCATACCTGGGCAGCACATGCCAGACGCCAATGCGCACACCATCCTCGTCCTCATCGTGATCCTTGACAGTGATGTAGAAATTCCGTGTGGCAAAAAGTCCAATGCTGTGCGGTTTGCTCAGGTCAAGGCCCTTCGGATAGGTGACTACAAAGGAAGCAGACGAACATGTTAGGATCAACCTCTGCTGTTTAAAGAGCTCGCCACTTACTAAATGTGAGGAACAGAATGCCACGCTGCAGCGTCACCGATGTCCGGAAAGCCAACGGCAGCAGCACAAAGAAGAGGAAGAACACCAGCAAAGCTATCACCAGGCAGGGTAGACCGACTCTGAGAATGGATTGCATGATGGTTGTTGTTGTTATTATTAATTAACTAACTAAACGGAGACATTACAAAGGATACTAAAAAACATAAAAATCTACAAAAGCAAATACTACATACAAAATTGAAATTTAATTAAATACACATGTATATGTACAAATGTAGAAAATGTAAATTTGAGCCAGCTGAGCATTTGTTGCTTGTCAACTTATTATTTTCGTTCTTTTATTTTTTTTTTCTTTCGAAGCCCAGCTGAGGTGGAGCAGAGCCAAGGGAATATGGAATATTCCCATCGACAATATGCTAAATATTTATGCCACGATGCAAAATTTATGTTGAAAACAACGTGAAAAATCAAATCAAATGATAATTATAATAATAATAAGAAGTATATATTTTAGTATCAGTCAGAAAGCAGGCAAATTTCATACAAATTTCATTAGAAATTAACATTAACTTGAATTAATTATTGGTTTTTGTTTTTTCTTCGATCGAGCATAAATACTTACAGCCCAGTCAGCCAACTAATGAGAATCGTTCCGGGAATGATCGTTGCATAAAAAACTAAATTTAAACAACTATGAAGCTCGTACATTGTGACGTTTATCGATTGTCCCTTCGATTACAGCTAATTTAAATTGTTTGTGATCAACGATATTATATGTATATCGTTTTTTAGCGTTCGAGCCTGTGGTTAATTTTTAGCGAGAGCGTTATTAATATTAATGGGCTTGGTTTTTGTTTTCTGTGCAAAATAGATTTTCTTTTTTTGTTTCGAGTGAGATTCACGGATATTGTTTCGGTTTTTTGTTTTTCTTTTGGTTTTTTTTATGAACGTACTAAGCGTCTAGCCGAACGTAGGGAAGAGAATAAACAAAGTTACTTGATTATTAGCTTATACAAATATAGTGTAGATTAAAGCATGCAAAGGCCAAAAATCTAAGCATTCAACTGTGAAATTGCCCAAGCCCAAAACAGCAAACACTTAAACTAACAACAACAGACAAATGAGCTGTGAACAAACTTTGTACCCTGCTGCTGATAAGGCGGATGGCGGTATTAACTACATTAGCTATTATGTGATATATCGTATATCGATAAATAATGACACATATGTAGATAACGAATCGAGTGCTCGTCGACCGACCGACCGACTTGCCATAATCAGCAACAGATTACTCATAAAACATGTGAATAAGTACATATGTATGTATGTATAAACAGATTTATAAACATAAATGAATTGTGATTTATGCAGCCTTAAAGAAGCGACTAAAATATTAAATGGTTAATTACGCGTTAGTTAAAGAAATCACTAGAATTCACCTCTTGAAGAAATGCCGCCTACGCGCAAAGAGCATAACTGCAAATAGTCGAACGTCAAGAGGAAGAAAGAGATACAAAACATTAAGTTAGACATTTTTTTTAAATCAACAAACAAACACGGGCATCAGCAAACGTTTACTGGAGAATGAAAAGTGCAGAGTGGAGAATGTAGAGAGTGGAGAGACTGGAAAACGCAAGCAAGCAATTTCAACGTTAACATAATAATGAACCGTTTTAATATTATTGCTTAACTAGCTTACTAATAATTGTAACTACATATGCACAAACAATTTGCGGTGTAGCAGAAAAAAAGAACCGTAGCGGCCTGCGCGTTTGATTTTATGCGACTGACTGGGCGGGCACACCAAAAAAGCAAAACAAATGAAAAAGCTTTAACTGAGCGTGAGCCAGAACGCGATCTCTTCCACACCCTCTCCCACTCTCACACACACACACTCTCTCTCTCTCTCCCGCCGGCCAGCTGATCGCGTGCGGCAACTGTTAACATTTGCTCTGCCGTCTTTTTTTTTTGTTTGCATTCTTTCTGAACTTGAATTGAATTTGAATGGTAAATATTGTATGCACTTGTCGCTTAACGCTTCAATTAACACTAATTGAGTTGATCTCTTGATGCTTGTCACTTACCGGCGTCTTTCTTAGGCAGTTAACGTGGCGAATGTAGAAAGTATAAAAATCAGTTTCAATCAAAATATTTACATACATATATTTCTCGTCTAAGGCATAGTTTTTTGTTGGGTCCGAGCTGGAAGTTGCAAGAGATTAGTTTTTATGTTAGCATTGATTTATTCATGAACAATGTGCTTATGATTCAAATCTAATTTATATAATTTATGTCACTAATTAACAGGAGTAAAAACCATTCTTTATTACACTAACTTGTAATTTGGGATAAATTTACCAAGTAACTCGTTAATTGGAGACTCTGTGGCTTCACTTGTGCATTTCACAGTTTAAATATTTTTGGTAATTAAGAATATTGGATTAGTTTTTCTTTTTATTAAGAACAGCGGCTGCCAGTGTGTGCACCCGGCTTTTAGAACAGCTGATAATGTATCTTTAACAGATGCTACCAAATCTTTTTCAATAACATTATTTTAAACTTGCAACATATAGTATTTAGCTCTGCAGACTTGTATTATATTTTTTGTTTACTTAGCGCTAAAATAAATCAAGTTGACACAGTCTGTTTATAGCTACAGTTGTCCCACCCTGTTCGGGTTTCGATTAATTTCGCCCATTCGATTAGTAATGCCAGTACTGTTAAAGACAGCACTGCAAATAGCAAATGGCAAATGTTAAGTTTTTGGCTACCGTAAATAAACAGTGAAAGTGCAATTAAGAACTAAATGAACGACAATTAGCGACTCAGTTCGTACACCGTTTGACCGAACTTATTCCGATACAATTCTAGTTAGAAATTTAGTTGAACGCAACGGCAGTGCCGCAACCAGAGAGAAAGAGAGCGAGCGAGAGAGAGAATGAAGAGTTTGGAAGAAATTAAGTTAGAATATCCACTGCACTGGCAGATCTGGAATGGGAACGTTGAGGAGCTGCAACAGCAGTTGCTCACCGAACAGGTTTGTCATCGGTTGGGTGATTGATTGGCTAGGGAATGGGAGCAGGGACAGGTGGGTGTGCGATGGTGTGGGTGACCGTGTGTGTGTGTTTGTGTGTACTGCTAATTGAATTAGTGATTCTATTCCAAAAACAAAAACAACAGCAATGACAATAGCAATGTTAATAACTCAACTTTCAGATTGATAAGGAAAAAATCGATCCGCGGGGCCGCACACCATTGATGTTGGCCGTTCGTCTGGCGAATCTGCAATGTGTTAAGTGCCTTTTAGCTGCCAAATGCAATGCAACCTACGAGCATGCAGGCTGGTCAAGTGAGTACCGTTAAGATTTGTATCAGCAAATCAATTTTCTCTCTAACGCTCACTTCAATCAGTTGTCCAGGAGGCCGTTTGCACGGGCGACGAGGAGATCTTAACGGCGATTATCGAGGTACGCGACTTGCAGCGTCATGTGCAGCGCGTGACGCATGTGCCGAAGCTGTTACAGCATCTGCTGGATGCGCCCGACTTCTACATTGAAATGAAGTGGGAGTTCACGTCGTGGGTGCCGCTGATGTCACGCCTCTGTCCCAGCGACACCTACAAGGTGTACAAGCGCGGCGCCAACGTGCGCATCGACACAACCTTGTTGGGCTTCGACAACAACACCTGGCAGCGCGGCAATCGATCCTACATATTCAAAGGCGGCAGTGAGTGCTAAAGACATAGCAATATTATATTATAGTATACCTAATACTCCTGGGACTTTGTAGAGGAGACGGCTACAATGATCGAGATCGATCATGACACCCACGAGGTGATGGTGGAGCAGATGAGCAGCGATATTGGTGACATTGTGGCCATTCCGCCACCAATTGGCACCGTTCGTGCTCGCCTGGCTGCGCCCGTCATCACCAACAACATCGAAATGGAGAAGATCAGCTTCGAGCGCAACAAGTCTGGCATCTGGGGCTGGCGCAGCGAAAAGTCGGAGGTCATCAATGGCTACAATTGCAAAGTGTATGGCGCCAGCAATGTGGAGTTTGTCACCAAGACGCGCATGGATCACCTCAGCGAAGAGCAAATCAAGGTAACAATCAAAGATGTAAGTGTGCTCTAGTCTGGAGTGGCCCGACCAAGAGATGCTCTGAGTTCCGCATGGAATGTGACGGGAATAATATACATATTAATTGGAATTGAATTTGTTCTCCATTTATACAGAACAAAACGGCTCGGACGCCGCTTCACAGTCTATTGGGCATTGCTGACGAGGATTACGTGCCTCCTGCGGATGTGCCTGCTTCAATCAAAGATCGCGTAAGCCCAAACACTATAAAGACAATTAGATACTCAATTAGCATTCCTTCCCACAGACATCGGAGTCAGCTCCTTTGATTGCGCCCAGTGTGAACGGTGATCGTGCGTCGCCCACTGTTCCAGCTCAGGCTGAGAGCAATGGCAGCTCCGCCTGCTGCTCGGGCACGAGCACGCCCCATTTGCAACAGATCACGCCCGAGGAGTACTTCAGTGCCGATGTGGATTTGCAGGGTCGCGACATTGGCAGACCAAAAAACCTAAGCACAAAGGTGCAACGCTTCAAGGCCAATCTCTGGCTGGCCGAAGAGCATCCCATCCGTCTCCAGGAACAAGTGCTTCCCATACTGGATCTCATGTCCACAATGGCCAGTCCGCATGTGTCCAAATTGAAAGACTTTATAACGATGCAACTGCCTTCCGGCTTTCCGGTCAAGGTGGAGATACCGCTCTTCCATGTCCTCAACGCCTGCATCACGTTTGGCAATGTGTTCGCCATGACCACGCCGGTGGAGCACGTGGCCACGCTGCAGGAGGACGATCGCACCACCTGCCTGGTGGATGATCGTTGCTTCGATATACCCAGCAGTTATGTGAATCGTGGCGCCGATGCCCGCCGTCAAATCCCCCTGGACGAGGATGACATGCTGCAATATGCCATCGAACAGAGCCTGGCGGAGACAAGCGGCGCTGGCGGCGCCTGTGGCCTGGATAGCGATACCGACAAAGTGGACATCTGGGAGGTGCTGCGCGGCCAAAATGCCGTGGGCACCGAACTGCTGCCCGAGGACGACGAGCAGCTGCAGCGGTAAGTAATCCTCAATCCAAACTCTTTCGATCTCTGGACATTCTCAGATTTTAACGAGCGTTACGTGTAATGCTAGTAATGCCCGCTTCTGTTCAAATAAGCGCAATTTGCTCGCACCCAGTCACCACATTTACGGTCGCCATTCCCCCTCACCTGGGCACAGTTCGCACCTGGCACCGCCCGCGCCCGCCTTTGAGCCGCAGCAGCGCAGTCGCTCTGCCTCGGCGGGGGCGCAGTTCAAAAACGATCTTAGCTATATGAAGAAGATCTTCAAATAGATCCCCACACCTTGCATCACCCTCAACGTATTGCTAGCTATCATCTTACCCAAGCTTTTGTGTGTGTGTGTGTGTGCGCGCGCGTGTGTGTGTGTGTGTGTGTGTGTGTGTGTCCTCTGTTTATATTATTCACAGCGTGCTGCACGAGTCACTGATGGGTGCGCAGGGCAATGCGAGCGGCTCGCCCGTCTCTGAGGATGATGACGATGGAGGCTTTCGCTACATGGACTCCGACCTGGCCATGGCCATGCGCCTCTCCCAGCAGGAGCAGCAGAAGTACGAGCTGGAGCGACAGCGCGAGCAGGAGATGATCGAGCAGGCGCTCAAGCTCAGCCTGCAGGAGAACTAGCCATTGAACCAATTAGTTAACCAAATCTAACCAAAACCAACCAATCAATCAATCAATCAATCAGCAGTCACAAGCCTGGCGTCAATCAAATGAGAGGGAAAGTCATTTTTGTCGATACCAAAATTGGAAATAGTTTATCTATATATGTAATTCTAGTATGTAAAAATTATGCCTATGTTGTAAAGTTGCAAATTTAATTTGTTGTTTTTTTTTTTATTTTTTTATTTTTACTTTTTTTTATTTATAATGTGATATTGAACTAAACTGAACACAAAAAGAAACGGAAGAAAACCCAAAGCGGAAAAACAATTAGAATTTCCCTCATCAAAGGTCTCAACTCGGAAACTCGCGCGACATCTCCATTATATACATATACATATATATAAACATGTAGATTTATATATATATATGTATACATATATCACATAATATACATATTAAATTTATGTAATAGCTCTTGCTAACTATACATATACATATATTTATATTAAGAACAGAGAAGGTTTAATTAGAACATTTGTCAAACTTCGGTTGCCAGAGCAGGAAAACTTTTCGAGCATTCTCTTTTATTTATACACATTCAAACTATTCTATTAATTTACTAATCAGCATTATCAACTGAACATTTTTTGTGAAAATCCAA